GGTCTGCGAAAACTCAGGCAGGTCTGAACAGGTTTGTGTTGGCATTTTGGCCCTCCTTCCCAGAACCACTTTCTTCTGTTCTTTAATGTTTAACTTATACACTCATCAGAATTATAATAAAGGACAACTTGTTGTTCTGGCTGCTGATGGAGACCTGGCCTGCCACAGTTTAACGCAAATTCTCAAACAGCCATAATCCCAGCACTGTGGGAGGCCGAAGTGAGAGGATCGCCTGTGCCCAGGAGTTCGAGACCAGCCTAGGCAACATAGGGAGATGCCATCTCTATGCATAAAAAATAATTAGTCGGGTGTGGTGGCACGTGCCTGTTGTCCCAGCTACTCTGGAGGCTAAGGCTGGAGGATCGTTTAAGCCTGGGAGTTGGAGGCTACAGTGAGCTGTGATTGCACCACAGCACTCCAGCCTGGGCGACAGACTGAAACCCTGTCTCCAAAACCGAAACAAAACACAAACAAAGAGCCATACATGAAAGTTTTAAAGAATGTGTTTTTTAAAAGCCGCAGTGGGGTTTTCTGCAGAAATCCTGGCTGCTTGTAAGCCAGCCAGAACCTCCACCTTTAAAGCATATCCGTTCACGTCATTCATCCTATAGCTATGGGGAAAAGTTGAAGATTTTAAATTTAAAAAAAAATTAAAAAGAAGATGAGCACTTCTGAATCCTTTCTCTTTTCTTTTGAGCTTGTTGTCTGGGTGGGAAATGTTATGGTTTCTGAAAACAAAGAAGAAAACATGTCATTCTTCTATTCCAGTTTCTCACGATGACCTGGGGGAGTGTGATTTTTTTTTAATGGATAGCATGAAGGTAGTATTTGCCCCAAATAGTGGGATAGTGTGACGTGGTGGCCAAGGACAGAGGGTGATGTGTTCTGCCTGGAGATGACCTTTAACCTCAAGGCTTTCTTCCTTTTAAAACATTTGCTTTTTTTTTTTTCTTTTTTTGAGACCTAGTCTCACTCTTGTTGCCTAGGCTGGAGTGCAATGTTGTGATCTCAGCTCACTGCAACATTCGCCTCCCGGGTTCAAGCAATTCTCCTGCCTCAGCATCCCAAATAGCTGGGATTGCAGGTGTGCACCACCACACCCAGCTAATTTTTGTATTTTTAGTAGAGACAGGGTTTCACCGTGTTGGCCAGGCTGGTCTCAAACTCCTGGCCTCAAATGATCCACCCATTACAGTTGTGATCCACCGTGCCCAGCCAAATGTTAGCTTTTTTTTTTTTTTTTTTTTTACAATAATTTATTGTGTATATATATATTTTTTGAGATGGAATCTTGCTCTGTTACCCAGGCTGAAATGCAGTGGTACCTCCACCTCCCAGGTTCATGCAATTCTCCCACTTCAGCTTCCTGAGTAGCTGGGATTACAGGCGCCCGGCACCATGCTCAGCTAATTTTTGTGTTTTTAGTAGAGACAGGGTTTCACCATGTTGGCCACTGTCGAACTCCTGACCTCAGGTGATCCACCCACCTTGGCCTCCCAAAGTGCTGGGATTACAGGCATGAGCCACTGCACCCTGCCAATTGCATATTTCAAAATAACTAGAAGAGTACATTTAGAATGTTCCCAACACAAAGAAATGATAAATATTTGAGGCAATGGATAACCCAGTTACCCAGATTTGACCACTGCACATTGTATGCTTGTATCAAAAAGTATCACATCAAACCCATAGATATGTGCAACTCTGATGTATCCATAAAAGTTAAAAAAATTTTAAATTTGCAAAGTGAAGCGGTTCAAACCTGTAATCCCAGCACTTTAGGAGGCCAAGGTGGGAGGACTGCTTGAAGCCAGGAGTTTGAGACCAGCCTGGGCAATATAATGAGACCCCATCTCTACAAAAGAAATATAAAATTAGATGTGTGCTTGTGGTCCCAGTTACTTGGGAGGCTGAGGTGGAAGGATTGCTGGAGCCCAGGAATTTGAGACCAGCCTGGGCAGCTTAGCAAGACCCAGTCTCTAAAAAACTTTTAGAAAATTAGCTGGAAGTGGTGGCACGTGCCCGTGGTCCCAGTTAGTTGGGAGGCTGAGGTGAGAGCACTGCTTGAACCCAGGTAGTCGAGACTGCAGCGAGCTGTGACGAAGCCACTGCACGTCAGCCTGGGCAGCAGAGCAAGACCCTGTCTCAAAACAAAACAAAACCAACAAAAACAAAGAACAACTCCCCGCTGAACCAACTCTTCATATTAAAAAAAAACTTTGTGATTACATTAGGCCCACCCAAATAACCCAGAATCATCTCCCCATGTTGAGACACTGAATTTCATGAAATCTGCAGTCTGTCTTGCCATGCAAAGTGATGTGCTTTGCCTGTGTCCCCACCCAAATCTCGTCTTGAATGGTGGGAGGGAATTGAATCATGGAAGCAGGTCTTTCTCATGCTGTTCTCATGAGAGTGAATAAGTCTCACAAGATCTGATGGTTTTATAAGAGAGAGTTTCCTTGCACAAGCTCTTTTCTCTTTGCCTGCAACTATCCTTGTAAGACGACTTGCTCCTCCTTGCCTTCCGCCATGATTGAGGCTTCCCTGGCCACATGGTGCCATCTAGGTGCAGTGGTGCAGTGGTGCCATCTAGGCTCACTACATGTTGAAATTCATTTCCTTGACATTTCCCTCTTCTAGAGGCTGCAGTATTCCTTGGCTTATGACTTCTTCCTCCATCTTCAAAGCCAGCAGCAGCACAGTATCTTCTAGTCTCTCTCTTTCTCTGACCTCTGCAGTTTCTCTTACAACTTCTTTCTTTTTTAAATTGCCCAGCCTTGGGTATGTCTTCATCAGCAGTGTGAAAATGGACTAATATACAAGGTGACATGGTTAAGGGTTGAATGGCGTCTTCCCCTGTAGTTCATATACGGAAGACCTATCCCCACTTCCCCATCTGTGAATGTGACTTTATTTTGAAATGCAATGTTTGCAGATGTCATTAGTTTAGATGAGGTCACCATGCAGGAGGATAGGCTGTAATCCCATGACTGGTGTCTTTATGAAAAGAGGAAATTTGGACACAGACACACACAGAGGAGACCATCATGAGACCATGGGGGCAGAGACTGGAGTGATGTGGCCAAAAACCCAGGGATCCCTGGAGCCCCCAGGGGCTGGAAGAGTCAGGAAGGATCCTCCCCTATAATCTGCTGAGGGAGCACAGCCCCGAGACACCTTGATCTCAGCCTCCTGGACTCGACTGGGTAAGGTCCCTGGTTTGTGGTAACTTGTTAGAGCAACCACGGAAAACTAATTCAGACACATTCGTAGGTTCCAGAGACTATGATGTCTGTATCTTGAGCAGCACGAGGGGTCATTATTAAGCCATTGGCAGGGCTTCAGCTCTAACTGTGGCCATGGGTCGCCTTTGGTCTGTTGGACATGTCCTATTCTCTGGAATGACCATGCCAATTCCAGGTGATTAGGGTGGGATTTTAGAGTGGAAATCTCATTCCAACTGTGGGTGGACATTTAACCCAGGAATGTCCAAGTCCTCCACCATAATGATTGGTACAAGATGGGTGATATCGTGTGTGTCCCCCACCCAAATCTCATCTTGAATTGTAGTTCCATAATGTCCTAAACATTAGAAAATGTAAATGTTAGCTAACATGGCAAAGGGACTTTGTGGCGATGATGCGTTAAGAATCCTGAGCTGAAGCGATGTTCCTGGATTATCCTGGTGGGTTCTAAGTAGTCACAAGAGTCCTTATAAGAGGGAGTTAGGAGTGTCAAAGTCAGAGAAGGAGATGCGAAGAGGGAAGCAGAGGTCAGAGAAAGAGAGACTAGAGGGTACTGTGCTGCTGGCTTTGAAGATGGAGGAAGAAGTCATAAGCCAAGGAATACTGCAGCCTCTAGAAGAGGGAGATGTCAAGGAAATGGATTTTCTTTTGGAACCTCCAGAAGGAACCAGCCTGCTGATACTTTAATTTTAGGACTTCTGATTACCAGAACTATTAGAAAAATTGTGTTATTTTAAGGCAATTAAGTTTGTGGCATTTTGTTACACCAGCAATAGCAAACTCATACACTGCTCTAATGGTCATTTCATCTCAGGCCGTCTCCCTCTCTCTCTCTCTCTCTCTTTCTCTCTCTCTTTCTCTCTCTCTTTCGCTCTCTTTTTCTTCTCCTCCTCTTTCCCTTCTCCCTCTTCTTTTTCTCTCAATCTCTCTCACTCATTCTCTTTCTCCCCACCTGTTCTCTCCAGAAGGGCAGATGAACTTTTTCTTTACATGGGGACTCCTGACTCCATAAGAGAGAAGTCAGAAGCTGCCAGGTCCCCCAAGTCTAGGGCAGGAACGGCAGTATCAGCATCACTTATGCTGCATTCTTTTGGTCAATGCAAGTCAGAAGTTCATCCCAGATCCAAGGGGAGGAAAAAGGCTTCAACTCGTAGCTGAGCTCATTTGGAAGGTAATGGGAGGACTTGGCAGCTGTTTTAAGACATGTACCACATCTAGATTTCAACCTACAGAAAAGTCCAAAGATACAACAGCAGCCCAAGTTAGTCAACTGAAGCTGTCTCAAGGCTGCCCCCTTTAGGTGGAGACTAACCAGCTCCCTGACATCCTTCAGTTAACTACACCTTCCTCCTTCTTGCTGCCTTGAATTTCTACGTGCTGCCTGGAGCTGTGGCAGGGATCTTGCAACCACGAGGTGAACGCTATGTGCAGGAGCAGGAAGGTGGAAAGAACCTGCCAGCCCTGGATGCTTCCTCTGTGACTCTCATTACCTGGGAGAGAACACACCTTTCTCTTGTTTGAGGCGTTCTTATTCCCAGTCTGCTCTCTCCCTGTATAACACTCAAAGCACAGGAGTAAACTTGTGACTGTGACTTCAGTTTTTCAGAATGGGGACGTTTGGATTGTTTAGTTCTCTCTCCATAAATAGTGAACAGCAACACCAGGTTAGTTCCTTCAAAGCTGGGGGGGTGAAGGCGTGGAGGTGGAGGAGTAGGATCGCGGATGGGAAATAAAAACAAACAAATGACACCATCCAGGTAGAGTTGCCATGTTTTAGTCAGTGTTTCTGCTGCACTGCCAGCCTAGGGATGCACTTGATTCCCAAGAAGTGCTGCCATCCTATTCACAGAGCCACCCACAGATACCTGCCCTGTGGGCTGCAGCCACTTTATTACCGTAACTAGTACAGAACAGAGGCTGATTCAAGCTCCCTTAGATCCCTTTCTCAGTGAATATGAGGGAGAAGAAGCGCCTCATGGCTCTGGGAAGGCATGTTGAGACCCGTTTTTGCAAGTCTTAAGGCATGGAAGAATATAGCTGCCACATACCCCCAGTCTAGGGCAGGAAGGGCAGTACCAGCGTCACTTACACTGCATTCTGTTGGTCAGTGCAGGTCAGAGGCTCATCCCAGATCTAAGGGGAGGGAAGAGGCTCCAACCTGTAGTTGGGCTCACTTGGAAGGTAATGGGAGGAGTTGGTGGCTACTTTAAGACACATACCACATCCAGATTTCAACGTACAGAAAAGTCCAAAGATGCACCCACAGGAGCCCATTAGTTAATTGAAGCTGGCTCAAGGCTGCCTTCTTCAGGTGGAGACTAACCAGCTCCCTGACATCCTTCAGCTAACTACTCCTTCCTTCTTCCTGCTGCCTGGAATGTCAATGTGCCATCTGGAGCTGTGGCAGCCTTCTTGAGACCATGAGGCAAACCCTACATGCAAGATCAGGTAGCTAGAAAGAGCCTGCCAGTCCTGGGCTTATATCCTCCTTCCCAGGGAGCTTGAAGATAGCAAAACCCACAGCCATTTTCATCAAATGCCAGGAAATTCTTAGGCTGGGATCGTCTGAATGGTTGAGAGCAAAAGACTTGTTGTAATGGGCTTGTTGAATACAGTGAAAGATGAGATGGCTTTTAGTTGCCTCCAAATCCCCATGACCCATGCTCCATAGATGTTTCTTTTTAATGATTTTTTGGTTATGCTGGGTGTCTCCTGTGTGTCCCTCCGGATCCATCTCCAGCCTTAGAAACCTGAGCTCTGTAAGTGCTGCCTCTCTCCACTCGCCTTCTCTCTGGCTTCAGATTGAGTTCAGTCAACAGATGCCCCTGCAGGATTTGGACACAGGGAGCCTGGGGAGAGGGGCATCAGCTGCCTGGTTAGCAGGGCTGTGATGGTTCTTCTACTCATGATTCTCACTGCTGTGGTCAGCCCGTTGCCTCCTCCTCTGGATTCTGGAAGCTTCTATGCCGAGGTCTGATGGTGGCTCCCTGCCTCCCATTGGGGTCCCTAGAATCCCACCCTCACCCATTACCTTGTGGTGAACACTGCCTTTCTTAGATGCCATTTATTCTCTCGTTTCAATTCCCAGTATGCTTCCTACAAATACCTCAATAGATGGACCGAGAGGAATAGTGCAAAATTCTCCTGCCCCTGGTATTGGGATCTGGGGGAAGGGGTCCCAGGTATGTAGTAACTTAGGACTACACTTCCATCGCCAAAGCCACAGAGGGAGGGGTGAGGATGAAACATACTAGAGTTGCCTTAGAAATCACACTGGTCAAATCTTAGCTATTCAAGGAATGCAGGAAGAGAAGCTTCCTTCTCTCTGTATGTCTGAAGGTTCCCACGGCTGTCTCTTTGCCCAAGGGGCAAACCTGCCATCAGGGTATCTTCTGCGCATTTGAGGATCTTCTGCCAATGACAGGCAATTGTAGTACGTGTTTCAGTGAAGAATGAGATAAAGTCATTTTATTTGACAATGAAGCGATGCATCAAAAACCTCAGTCAACTCAGTAAGTGTTTTCTTGCTTTCCTGCTGACCAACCTAATTCTGGTTTCATACAGGGAAGCCAGGTGCCCACCTAAAAGCCTGCACTTCTCAACTTCCAGTTGTTTCTATGGATAATAGTTGGAAGCAGAAATTGGGTTAGGGCTTCCAGATAATCCCCCCTAACAGGGACTGATTCAAGAGAAGGGGATGTCCTTTGGTTCTTTCTCCTTCCTGCTGCCTGGAATGTGATGTCTGGCGCCGTGACAGCCATGTTGATGTAATGAGGCCAACTCTCTGCCATGCTAAGAGTGGCAGAGCTGGGAGTTGACAAGAGCTTGCTAGCCTTGGGTTGCTTCCCCTTGAGCTGCACACTACTTGGAAGAGAACACACTCCTCTCTTGTTCTTTTCATTAAGGCATTATTTTAAGGCAGGGTCTTCCTCTGTTCCCTAGCTTGGAGTGCAGTGGTGCAATCATAGCTCACTGCAGTTTCGACCTCCTAGGCTCAAGTGATCCTCCCACCTCTGCCTCCTAAGCAGCTGAGACTACAGCTGTGTGCCACCACATCTGGCTAATTATTTGGTTTTTTGAAGAGATGAGGTCTCACTGTGTTGCTTAGGCTGGGTAGGTATCGAACTCCTGGGTTTCAAGTCATCCTTTTACCTTGGCCTCCCAAAGTGCTGGGATTACAGGTGTGAGTCACCGTGCCTGGCTTTGTTTAAGGCATTCCTTTTTCCCAGCATCTGTTACCAGCAGCCTGAAGTCATTTCTTTAATAATACCACGAGGACACATGGACAGAGACACTAATGTATGAAAAACGCACCAACCCTTTGAGATCAATGAGTCCTCAGGAACAGAGACGGAGAGGCTTTCACTTTCCTCTGCTATGTGAAAGAGTAAGAACAGACATTCTTCCCTGTCCTTTTGGAAGGCTGTTATGTCATCTAGGTACTGAAATTGGAACAATGCTCTAAGACGGATGGTGGAAACATGCGGCATTGGCACAACAATGAACGCTGAGATTTAGAAGAGGAGGAGGAGGCATTAGTGGGTGCATACTGGGATAGTCTTATTTCACAGATCAGAAAATGGAGACCCTAGATGGGGGCAGTGGATCATGCCTGTAATCCTAGCACTTTGTGACGCTGAGGCAGGTGGATGACTTGAGGTCACCAACATGGTGAAACCCCGTCTCTACTAAAACTATGAAATTTAGCCAGGCGTGGTGGTGGGTGCCTGCGATCCCGGCTACTCGGGAGGCTGAGGCAGGAGGATCACTTAAACCCGGCAGATGGAGGTTGCAGTTAGCAGAGATCACGCCTTTGCACCACTCCAGCCTGGGCGACGGAGTGACACTCTATCTCAAAAAAAACAAAAAAAAAGAAAGAAAGAAAGAAAGAAAGAAAGAAAATAGGGGCCCACTCTCAGTCCAGGGCATGTTCCTTGCAAAAGGGAAGCTGAAGATAGAAGCAAGTTTGGAGAATTTCGTTTGCGGCAGTGGATCCTCTCTCACAGTGCTGGCATTCGGGGGATGCCATCCCCATCCTCGTGGCATGAGCAGAACGGGAAATTTCCACAGCACGGCTGCAGCCATGGCTTCCACACGATGTTGCTCATGGAAAACTGCTGGGGCACAGGCCTCAGGGTCTGCTGATGCTCTGACACCGCTGCACCCACCCTTGCCATCACAGCGTGGTACAGGGGCTCAGAGTCAGGGGTCAGAGGTCGTGCCTCAGAGGGGTCCCTGGAGAGGTCAAAGAGCAAAGGGGGTCTGTGATGGGTCACGCCCTCCCCGGAGCACGGGCAGATGCCTCGGCCGTAGCAGGCCCCTGCTCCCTCAGGGTGGAATTGTGGGGTCATGTAATGAATCTTCCAGACGCTTCCACCTGGATATAGACAAAAAGGGAGTCAGGGTGGCAGAAATCCACACAGGTGTGAACACTGGGCGCAGGTGTCAGCTCTGTGGAATCAGCATGAACCTCCCTGTTCAATGAAAAGGAGGGGGGACAGGAGGCTGTTCACACAATCGCAGTCTTCAGCTTGTCAAGTCAGAGTGTATGTCTGTATGTGTGTGTGCGCACCCATGTGTGTGTCCGTCTGTGTTTCTACTTCGCATGCTCCAGGCAAAGGGACTCATTACAGAGCACTCGCTGTGGCTGCTTTCAGAAGTCAGAATCATAGAGGTTCCTTAATTCCCACCCTTTCCCCTGTGTTGAAATCGTTCAGCGTCGCTCTACTACCTTTCTACACAGAAACGACCATGATACTTTAAACAGCACGATTGGATACTTATCTGTCTATCCCTAACCATTTATCTTACCTATCTATCTCATCTATCTATTTATCTATCAATCATCTATCTTATCTATTCATTATTTATCTTAGCTATCCATCCACCATGTATCATCTTATCTATCTACATCTAGCTGTGCATTATCTATCTGTGTATCCATTATGTCTCATCCATCATCATCTCATCTTTCTATCCATCAGCTATCTATCCATTATCTATCATCTATCTATCTATCTACTCATCCATCATGTATCTTATCTATCCATCCAATCTATCCATCATCTATCATCTATCATCTCTCTCTCTCTCTCTCTCTCCCCTCTCCGATCACCTATGTATAATCTACTCATTGGTTTATTTATGTCTATTTCTATAGCTATCTGTCCACCCATCCATCCATCCATCCATCCACATATCCACACATCCTATTGGCTGTTTCTCTGGACAACTCTGGCTGTGGGCAGCGTTTACTTACTGTTCTTCTGGTGCCACCGTGCTGCATGGAGATGCTGCCCACAGTAATGAAACAGGAACTCATGTGCCGAGTGTGTCTCAGTTCCCTGCAGCAAGGGCACCAGGCTGTGGCCGTCAATCACCCTGATCCCATGAAGAGACCACAGAGCAGAGTCAGACCATGGGTTCCCAGGAAGCCTTTTGCACCTGGGAACAAACCTCCCAGATTGCAAGGCTCCCCAGCAAACGGAGCAGAGATGAGCTGTCTCTCCCCAGTCACTGTTTAGATTGCAGGTTGCTGAGCAGGATACATCTGGTTATTTCAAGACACAGAGTCTCTAACTGTTGGGGTTATTTGTTACGCAGCACTGCATAAGCAGAGTGCACATGCACGCAGCACTGCCACCTTGGGTGTTAACACAAAGCCTTCAAGTTCCAGCTGGACAGCCCACATTCCTAGGTTGACTTTTCTGACTGTTTTTGTTTTGAGGCAGCGTCTTGTTCTGTCACCCAGGCTGCACTGCAGGGACACAATCTCAGCTCAATTCAACCTCTGCCTCCTGGTCAAGCGATTCTTGTGCCTCAGCCTCCTGAGTAACTGGGACTGCAGGTACAAGCCACCACCCTCAGCTAATTTTTGTATTTTTTGTAGAGATGGGGTTTCACCACATTGGCCAGGCTGGTCTCAAACTCCTGACTTTAGGTGATCTGCCCATCTCGACCTCCCAAAGATCAGTTGATCCCAGGAATTAGAGACCACCCTGGGCAACATGGCAAGAACCTGTCTCTTAAAAGAAAAAAAGGATTTGGGGGTGAGAAGTTAGAGATAAGATTCTTCATATGATCATCTCTTATATATGAGCATTTATTTGTTTCTTTAAATAGAGTAAAATAAAATCATTACCAAAGTATTTGCTTAGTTTTTTTCTCTTGTATAAGGTTGACTCTGGCAACATGCTTGTATCAAGGTGATAAACCATCTTTCAATCAGTTTTTCTTGCTTCACTAACATATTGGCAAGATTGTGCTTAGATTTCGGGAAATTATAGGAAGATGTTTGTGCATGGATCGCATTCTAATGATTTAATCTTCTCTTTGTTATGCTGAGGTTCAAAATTTGTCAGTAGTGGAAACGATGGAAAGTGAGTACCGTGACCACCATCTTTGTTCTTATGTTATCTTGTAACTGGGGTCGGCCATTTTCCACTAGGGTGGGCCCAAAATTGGAGGAAGTGAATTTTGCTTAAAGTTCCAATGTTGTTCTATCCCTCCTAATACAAAGGAATGAGAGGAATCTAATGATAAGGAAAACGTAAGTCAAAACCATTATGGAATACCACCTCACTCCGCCAAGAACGCCCATAATCAAAACATCAAACAGTAACAGATATTGGCGAGGACGCAGTGAACAGGGGACACTTCTACACTGCTGGTGGGAATACAAACTAATACAACCACTGTGGAAAACAATGTGGAGATTCCTTAAGGAACTCAAAATAACTACCATTTGATCCAGCAATCCCACTCCTGGGTATCTACCTAGGGAAAAGAAGTCATCATATGGATAGGGCACTTTCACACGCACGTTCACAGCAGCACAATTAGCAATTGCAAAAATATGGAACCAGCCCAAATGCCCATCAATCAAAGAGTGGATTTAAAAAGTGTAATATATATATATACACACACACACACACACACACTCCATGGAATATTATTCAGCCATAAAAAGGAATAAAATAATGGCATTTGCAGCAACCTACATGGAACTGGACACCATTATTCTAAGTGAATAACTGAGGCATGGAAAACCAAACATTGTATGTTCTCACCCATAAATGGGAGCTTAGTTATGAGGACGTAAAGGCATAAGAATGATACAATGGACTTTGGGGACGCAGGGGAAAGGGTGGGAGGGGGTGAGGGATAAAGAACTACACATTAGATACAGTGTACACTGCTTGGGTGATGGGTGCACCAAAATCTCAGAAATCCCCACTAAAGAAGTTATTTATGGCTGGTCGCAGTGCCTCACACCTGTAACCCTAGCACTTTGGGAGGCCAAGGCAGGCGGATTGCCTGAGCTCAGGAGTTTGAGAACAGCCTGGGCAACACGGTGAAACCCCATCTCTACTAAAATACAAAAAATTAGCTAGGCGTGGCAGTGTGTGCCTGTGATCCCAGCTGCTTGGGAGACTGAGACAGGAGAATCGCTTGAACCCGGGAGGTAGAGGTTGCAGTGAGTTGAGATCCTGCCATTGCACTCCAGCCTGGGCGACACTCCAACGCTCCGTTTCAAAAAAAAAAGAAAAGAAAAACGTATTCATGTAATCAAACACCACCCATTCCCCAAAATTCTATTGAAATAAAAATAAATAAAAACTAAAAACAATTTAAAAAATCAGGGAACAGGCAACCTTATCTCCACATACCTGTCTTGGGGCACCTCGCAGCCCGCCAGCTGGACCACGGTGGGGAACACGTCCATCAGGCTCGTGGGCTCGTCAATTACTCGGCCAGCTGGGAGCACCCCGGGCCAGCGGAAGATCCCAGGTACGCGGATCCCACCTTCCCATCCTGCCATGCCCTTCCCACCTGTAAGTAAAAGACATGGTTAGGATTTTGCTGGAAACTGCCCAGTTTGTATGCACAGCCACCCACGTGCACACATGCACACTGGGGCAGCCTGAGGTCACTAAAGCAGTCACAGCAGTATTTCCAGAATTGTGCTACTCCCCAGCCTCTTGAATATCCGTGGGTCACTGTGTCTGCTTCAACTGTTATAGTCACTCTATGCTACCTTTATTTAGAATAAAAGAATGTATTAAAATATTTATTATGTATTAATACTTCAAAAACGTTTGTTAAATATCAATAATTTAACAATATTTATTAAATATTATGCATCAGTATTAATTGATGCATTTAAAACATTAAAGTTAAAATAGTAATACATTGATTAAATATTCAAAAATTAATAATATAATAAAATAAATTTTGATTTTATCTGAATTATTTATTTATACCTCTCTCTCTTCTACTAAAATGTAAACCCTTTAAAGGAAGGGGATGTGACTTTGTATCTGCCTGTCCTGCTCATCTAGGTAGAACTTGGTCTACAGAAGGTGCTCCATACATTCTTTTTGAAATGAGCAAACTCATTTCAGTTTGACTTGTTCTGGGACCCTCGGTGGTGGGAGCTATTTAGTCAAATGCATATGTGTCCCCAATGTCCGCAACTCACCTTTGTAAATTCCGTTCCATCCCCCTAACTGGCTGTGTCCATCTCTTGCCTCTAAATGTCCTCCATGGTCAGAGGTGAAATATGTGAATGTTGAGTTCTTTAAACCATTGTCTTCGATGGCATTAAGAATCTTACCTTTACAGAAAGTGGAAAGTTTCAGGACAAAGTAAACAAAGCAGCATCTGCCAGTTCAATGTATTTCTTCCTTTCTACATAAGACGCCTCTTGCCAGGAAGTCATAAGAAGAGACCACAGTTACTTGGAGGCCATGGTTACAATGCGATCCCAAGGCATAAGACATAGGTAATCATGGTGACACCACAGGACTGTTTACAACGCAAACCAGTAATAAAATTCTAAGCTCCCCACATCTGATTGATAGACTCTCCCCTTGGCCAAGGCCATTCCAAAGTTAACCTGAAAAACGAGGTCAGGCTGGGCATTGGTGGGTCACACCTGTAATCCCAACACTTTGGGAGCCTGAGGTGGGTGGATCACCTGAGGCTTGGAGTTCAAGACCAGCCTGGCCATTATGGTGAAACCTCATCTCTACCAAAAACACAAAAATTAGGCAGGTGTGGTCATGCACACTGTAATCTTAGCTACTTGGGACCAAGGCTGAGGTGGGAGAATCGCTTGAACCTAGGAGGCAGAGGTTAGAGTGAGCTAAGATTGCACCACTGACTGCAGCCTGGGTGACAGAGTGAAACTGTCTCAAACAAACAAACAAAAAAACAACAACAAAAAACTAGGTCAGGCCATGATGAAAAGTGGCAGCTGGCAGGGGCGGGTGCAGTTGGACATGCGTTATGATACCCTCCTTTCTTTGGAATCCACGTGCAACTGACCAGCATTCACATGAAAACAGAGACCTTATGACTGAGAGAAGGCCAGGCACACTGGCTCATGCCTGTCATCCCAGCACTTTAGGAGGCCAAGGCAGGAAGATCGACTGAGCTCAGGAGTTCAAGACTAGCCTGGGCAACATGGCAAAGCCCCATTTCTACATGAAATACAGAAATTAGCCAGGCTTTGTGGCACATGTTTGTATGTACTCCCAGCTACTCAGGAGGCTGAGGTGGGAGGATCACCTGAGCCTGGGAGGTCAAAGCTGCAGTGAGTCAACATCGCACCACTGCACTCCAGCCTGGGCGACAAAGTGAGACCCTGTTTAAAAAAAAAGAGTGATAGAGCAGGCTCTTTAAGTCTGATAAGAAATATTTACCATTTATTCTCTCTGAAGCCTGCTACCTGGAGGCTTCATTGGCATCATAAAACCTTGGCCTCCACAGCCTCTTATTGGAAACCAGACATTCCCTTCTATGGATTCTCAGATAATAACTCTTTCAATCACCCACTGATCAGAAAATCGGTAACTCTGCCTTTGACATGGAAGTCCCTCTTCCAGTGGTCTTGCCTTTCTGGAACGAACCAAGATATGTCTTACGCATATTGATTGATGCTGTATGTCTTCCTAAATTTACAAAACCAAACTGCAACCCGACCACCTTGGGTACATGTCCTCAGGACCTCCTGAGGGCTGTGCCATGGGTCACTGATTACTCATATTTGTCTCAGAATAAATCTCTCCAAATATTTACAGAGTTTGACTCTTTTGGTTAATCCCAAGATACCACCAATACAAAACACAGAATGAACACACAATGCCAATAGGTTGTCATTTGGCATGCTTTTATAAACACAGTGCCTCTGTGTGTGTGTGTGTGTGTGTGTGTGTGTGTGTGTGTGTGTGTGTGTGTCATAATAAAGACATTGGGGCGAGGGAAAAGGTGAGACTCAGTGATGACAGAACCCTGTCCATACAGGAAGAAGCATCCATGGGTATGGCGTATTGGAGGTTGATGACTCAGAAGTGCAGAGGGCGCTCTGCAAAGCAATTGCTTTATCTCTGGAGGCCACTGGCCATTGAAAGCACTGAAAGTCCAGATGATATAAACCACACTGTCATCTGTAACTCCAAAAATGCAGAGTTTGAAGACTGCTGTACCCCGGAAAGCATCTGAGACCGGCCTCAATCAATTTAGAAAGTTAATTTTGTCAAGATTAAGGATGTGCCCATGACACAGCCTCAGGAGGCCCCGATGGCATGTGTTCAAGGTGGTTGGGGCAAAGCTTGGATTTGTATGCTTTAGGGAGACATGAGACATCAGTCAATACATGTAAAATGTACATTGGCTTGAGCTGGAAAGGGGGAACAACTTGAAGTGGGGGGTTCAAACATATTCTGATTGGCAATTGATTGAAGAGTTGTTATCAACAGAAAGGAATGCCTGGGTTATGACAACAGGTTGTGGACAGTCAGGTTTTACTATGCACATGGTGCCTGCAGGTCGCAGGCTTCAGAGAGAATAGACTGTAAATGTTTCTTATCAGACGTAAGGTCTGCGTGGGTGTTCACGCTGGAGGGTAGAGTGACACGTGTCCGACCCCCTCCTCCATCATGGCCGGAAGCAGTCTCTCAGGTTAAATTTTAGGCTACCCTGGCAAAGGAGGAAATCCATTCAGATGGTAGTGGGGGGCCTTCGACTTTTATTTTTGGTTTACGTTGTGAACCAATCCCGCCCTGTCACTATGCTTGTCTCAGGAGATACGTTCAGATTCTGCAAGGATTTTAGTATCTGCACTCTCTTGAGAATCTGCAGCCTCTTTGGTCCTCTCCAGGGTTTCTTCAAGTCCATAGGAGGAAGATGATGTCTCTGCACTGTCCTGAACATTAACTTTATTGCTTTAGTTTCTGTTCCTTCTAATGAGGACATTAAGTCATTGGCTGTGTAGAAGGTTGACAATATGGTTTGGATCTGTGAATTGTAATCGTCAGTGTTGGCGGTGGGGCCTGGTGGGAGGTGAGTGGATGACGGGGGCGGAGTTCTCATGAATGGTGGGGCACCACCCCTGCTTGGTGCTGCGGAGTGAGTGGGTTCTCTCGAGATCTGGTTGTTTCAAAGTGTGCGGCTCCTCTCTTGGTCCTGCTCCTGCCACGAGATGCCTGCTCCGTTCACCTTCCACGCAAGCAGAAAGCTCCCCAGGCCTCCCCAGAAGCAGATGCCGCCTTACTTCCTGTACAGCCTGCAGACCTGGGAGCCAATTCAGCCTCTTTTCTTCATAAATTACCCAGTCTCAGGTATTTCTGTGCAAGAATAGACTAACACAGTTGACTTTGTGCAAATTGGACTAAGTGCTTGATAATACTGAAGGAGCAAATAAATGATATGAGGGAAGTTTTTCTCCCTATTCTTTGTCTTTTATTTCTTTTGATTTTGGAGACAGGGTCTTGGTCTGTTGCCCAGGCTGGAGTTTAGTGGTGCGACAGTTATAGCTCATTACAGCCTCAACCTCCTGGGCTCAAATTATCTTCCCACTTCAACCTCTGGAGTAGCTGGGACCACAGGTGCATATCACCATGCCTGTCTAATTTTTTAAATTTTTTGTAGAGATGGAGGAGGGGGGTCTCACTATGTTGCTCAGGCTGGTCTTGAACTCCTGACCTCAAGCAATCAGCCTGCCTCAGCCTCCCAAAATGCTGGGATTCCAGTCATGAGTCACCTTGCCCCACCTGAAAATGCAGACTTTTAAGACTGTGAACTAATCCCACTCTGTCACTATGCTTGTCTCAGGAGACACATTCAGATTCTGCAAGAATTGTAATGTCTATGCTCTTTCAAGAATCTGCAGCCTCACTGGTCCTCTCCAGGGTTTCCTGAAGGCCACAGAAGGAAGACAGTGTCTCTGCATTGTTCTGAACATTAACTTTATTGCTTCATTTTCTGTAACTTCTAATGAGGACATTAAGTCACTGGCTGTGTAGAAGGCTGATTCTGTGCAAAATTAGACTAAGTAATTGGGAATACTGAAGGGGCAAATAAATGATATTGGAGCATGTTCTGCTCCCATTCTTTGTGCTATCATTGTCATTATTTATGAGATGGGGTCTCACTCTGTCGCCCAGCCTGGGTTACAGCAGTGCAACCTCAGCTCACTGCAGCCTTGACTTCCCAGGCTCAAGCGATCCTCCCCTCAGCCTCCTGAGAAGCTGGGACTACAGGCATGTATCCCCATGCCTGGCTAAGCATTTTATTTTTTGTAGAGACGGGGTCTCACTCTGTTGTACAAGCTGGATTTGAATTCCTGACCTCAAGCAATCTGCCCACCTGGGCCTTCCAAAGTGCTAAGAGTTACCTTATTCTTTTTTTTTTTTTTTTTTTTTTTTTTTTTTGAGACAGAGTCTTGATCTGTCACCCAGGCTGGAGTGCAGTGGCGCGATCTCAGCTCACTGCAATCTCCGCCTCATGGGTTCGAGCGATTCTCACACCTCAGCCTCCCAAGCGGCTGGGACTACAGGTGTACATCATCAAGCTGGGCTAATTTTTTGTACTTTTAGTAGAGACAGGGTTTCATCATGTCCTCCAGGCTGATCTCAAACTCCTGACCTCAGATGATCCACTCGCCTCAGCCTCCCAAAGTGCTGGGATTATAGGTGTGAGCCACCGCTCTTATTTTTTATTGCAAGCTGGCTCATATTCCGATGGCCAGTCTGTTACACCCTACGTTCAACGCTGAGGCCAAGAGTGGAGGGAGGCTCCGTGGTAACAACAGTGAGGCTGAGAGTGGAGGGAGGCTCCGTGGAATGCTGACTTACCTACGAGCCAGTCCATCTCCTCCACATTGTCACCATATAAGCCGTGCTGACTTTTCCCCAGGAATGCTCTTGTGGTCACAAGGGGAATGTGCACATGCAGCAAGGAAAGGAAGAGGAGAAATGGCCCATGCTTGTGTCTGAAAGAAGAAAGCCTCCTTGAGAATCCACAGAATACACTGTACATCAAAGGGACCTCTGCACCCCTGTGTTCACGCCACACTATTCACGAGAGCCAAGGCAGGGGATCCGCATCTGAGTCCATCGGTGGATGAATGCATCAAGAATAGATAGTGGGCAGGGCGCAGAGGCTCACACCTGTAATCCCAACACTTTGAGAGGCTGAGGCCAGGAGATTCAGACCAGCCTGGGCAACATGGTGAAATGCCGTCTCTATAAAAAATAGAAAAAGTAGCCGGGTGTTGTGGCTTGAGCCTGTAGTCCCAGCTATTTGGGAGGCCGCGGTGGGAGGATGGCTTTAATACGGGAGGTGGAGCATGCAGTGAGCCGTGATCACACCACTCCCCTCCAGCATGGGGGACAGTGTCAGACCCTGTCTCTAAATAAATAAATAGTATATGTCCACAGTGGAACACTATTCAGCCATAAAAAAGAATGGAGGCTGGGCATGGTGGCTCAAGCCTGTAATCCCATCACTTTGGGAGGCTGAGCCGGGCAGATCAGTTGAGGTCAGGAGTTTGAGACCAGCCTGGCCAACATGGTGAAATGGTAAAACCCTGTCTCTACTAAAAATAAAAAAATTAACAGGATGTGGTGGCAGGCACCTATAATTCCATCACTGAAGAGGCTAAGGCACGAGAACTGCTCGAGCCAGGGAGACAGAGATTGCCATGAGCCGTGATCATGCCACTGCTCTCCAGCATGGGTGACAGAGCCAAGGCTGTCTCAGAAAAAAAGGGAATGTCTGGTGTATGTACATAATGGAATGCTAGTCAGTCATCAAAAAGAATGATCCTGTTATTTGCAGCAACACAGATAAAACAGGAGGTTATTATGTTAAGTGAAATAAGCCAGGCACAGAAAGACTGATCCTGCGTTTTCTCACTCATATGTGGGAGCTAAAAAAATCGATCACATGAAGATAGAGAATACAATGATAGAGACCAGAGGCACGGAAGGGTGAAGGACAAAGAGAAGTGGTTTTTAAAGAGCCCAAACATATAGTAAGCTTAAAGGAATACATTTCATGCCTGAGAGCAGAGTATGGTGGGCAAAGCTAACAGAATGTATTGCAGTCGGGAGACGGATATGCTAAGTATGCTGACTTGATTGCTATTCAGTGTATACACGTAACAAAATGTCACACATACCCCATAAATGTGTACAAATTAAAAAGCAAGGGCCAGGCACGGTGGCTCACTCTTGTAATCCCAATACTCTGGAAGGCCGAGGTGGGAGGATGGCTTGAGCCCAGGAATTCAAGACCAGCTGGGGCCATATAGTAAGACTTTGTCTCAAAAAAAGGAAAAAAAAGTGACACATTAAAAAAGGCAGACACAGTGGCTCACTTCTGTAATCCCAGCACTTTGGGAGGCCAAGATGGGAGGATTATTTGAGCCCAGGAGAACCCATATCTACAAAGAATGCAAAAATGTTTAAAAAACTGTCAAAGAAAATAATGTAGAGAATACAATGGCATCTATGTCAATGCTATTTGAGCCATCACATGCCATCCACATCGAGGCTCTAATACGGGCAATGCAGCCATATAAAAAGGCTGGCTTCTGTAACCATCTCCTCCTCGGGCTGTTGTCCGAGACCCCTGAGATCATAAGGAGACTCTCAGATGCTCTGAGACATTACCGCCTCTTTTTAAAAATTAAATCTTATATTTTTAGCAACAAGGCCTCACTCTGTCGCCCAGGCTGAAGTCCAGTGGTGTGATCATAGCTTTCTGCAGCCCCTACAACAGAGGCTTAAGTGATCCTCCCTCCTTAGCCTCCTGAGTAGCTGGCATTGCTGCCACACACCACCATTCCTGGCTAATGATTATATTTATTGTAGAACCAGTCTTCCTATGTTGCCCAAGCTAGTATCAAACTCCTGGACTCAAGGGATCCTCCCATCTTGGGCTCCCAAAGTGCTGGGATGACAAACATGAGACACTGTGCCTGTCCCGTCACCACGCTGGAGTGCAGTGGCATAATCTTGGCTCACTGCAACCTCCACCTCTCTGGTTCAAGCGATTCTGCTGCCTCAGCCTCCTGAGTATCTGGTATTACAGGTGTGTGCCACCATGCCCGGCTCATTTTGTTTTGGTTTTTGTATCTTTAATAGAGACGGGGTTTCACCACGTTGGCCAGGCTGGTCTCAAGCTCCTAACCTCGTGATCTGCCCCCTCAGCCTCCCAAAGTGCTGGGATGACAGGCGTGAGCCACCAGGCCGGCCCCATCTCCTGTTTAAGACGTGACAGTTGCTTACCTTTCAATATAGGAAACGGCTTCCTTTAGCATAAGGCTCGCTGTGTTCTCCAGAACCATGGGCTGCTCCGTGACGTCATGGTTTCTCATCAGGATACAGTTCCAGCGGCGCACAAACCCAAAGCTAGAGTACCAGGAGATGAAAAACAGGAAGAGCAGGCCGGCCATGCCAGCGACTGCTGTCCTGGAGACAGAGATGAGACCGCAGGTCTTGCCGGCAGCCACGGTGAGAATCCCCAGTGCTAGGCACTGGGTGTAAACCCAGAGCTGTGCCCTGAGGCCGGCGTCCACTTCGGGGGGCCTGCCTGGGTCACAGTCGTTGGTGAGCGTGAAGGGCATGCCGTAGAAATAGTCAAATCCGTGGTTCAGGGGGTGGTGGCAGTGATCCGCACGGGATGCACAATTCACACCCTGGTGCCATTTTCCTAAAAGAAACACAAAACATTGCACAGAGACCCGCTTCGACGTGGCCTGGTCTGCCACAAAGAACCCTGGAATCATTCAGCAGCGGCTGGAAAAGAAAAGTCTGCAAAGAGCAAAACTGGAAATCAAAAGGCAATGAATGGATACGGGTGTCTAAATGAATGCGTTCTGACCCATGAAGACAAACGCAGGCATCCATGTCAGAACCCCTGGCAGGTGATCGAAGGTTTAAGACTTTACAGAATGCTGGTCTTATAGGCTTGCAGCCCTAGACCATTCCGCTATTAAATAATTTACAAAATATCTACATATATATGTAATACATGTATTTATAGTATAGGTAATACAGGTATGTATTATATTATACCACCTGGATGATACAGCAAGGCTGTCTTTAAAAAATTATAAAGAATAAATCCACCCTCAGGGTAGGAGATACACAGACTTCTACACTATAAAGCACTGGCCCTGTCATCCTAGCACTTTGGGAGGTTGAGGTAGGTGGATCACTTGAGTTCAGGAGTTTGAGACCAGCCTGGCCAACATGCTGTAACCCCGGCTCTACTATAAATACAAAAAAAATTAGCTGAGCATGGTGGGACATGCCTGTGGTCCCAGCTGCTCGGGAGGCTCAGGCAGGAGAATCGCTTAACCCCGGGAGGTGGAGGCTGCAGTGAGCTGAGATCGTGCCACTGCACTCCAGCCTGGGTGGCAGAGCAAGACTTCATCTCAAAAAAATAAAAATAAAAAATAAATAAAAGAAGAAAAAGTTTTTTAAGAAAATAAAAATAAAATGGCAGGAAACTTGAAAAGCACAACGGCTGTCCTCCTTAAACAAACCACAGCCTTGAACAAGTTGGGGTGCTGCAGCTCCTGTGAACACAACGGTGGCTTTGGGTGTGGGAAGTGCACAGAGAGGAACTGGGGACCCTGCACAGAGATCCCACCACCAGGTCGGGGCGGGCAACCCCACCATTGAGCGCCCATGTTCTCCTGTGTATGATGGGGACAGCACCTCTAAACCCACAGGCTGGGCAGGGAACAAAGGAGGTAACACCCAGACTGCCTGGTGCTTGATGGCATAAATCAACATCTCCCTCCTTTCCTCTCCATGCAGAAAGGGGTTTAAGGGGCAGGCCTGAGATGGTGTCCCTTACAAAGGCCGGCTTGGAGATTCCCCCATGGCTGGTGTCTGAGGATTTCCAGTGGAGAATTCACACTATTCTTAAAATAATAAGCTGACTGTGCCTAAGCCATATGCAAAAGCAAGGTACTTCATGCTAAACACCTCCTTTGGTTCTAGGAGTCTGCAATTCGGGCCAGTGCCAGGCAGTCAGTGCCTGCAGGACCAGCCCCCAACAGAAACCCCTGGGCGCTGAGACTCCTGGGAGCTTCCCTAACAAACAGCATTCCATGCGTGTTGTTAAAACCCATTTCTGGAGGAATTTGGTGCATCTTGTGTGATCTCACTGGAGGATTCTTGGGAGCTTGGGTCTGGTCTCCCCTGGCCTTCACCCTGTGTGATTCCCGTCGCTTTGACTGTCATAAATATCCCACGAGTACAACTGCATGCCAAGTCTTCCTAGCACATTTCTAAACTTATGGGTGGTCTTGGAGACCCCCAACATGCTTTCTTTTAAAAAGGGTGGACTTGGAGACCCCTGACATGCTCTCCCTTTTAAAGAGTAGTCTTGGAGACCCCTGACATGCTGTCTGTTATGAAGAGGGTGTTGTGACCCTGCTGGGGCTTGTTGTATAAAGGAAGGCAGTGTTTCTTCACCCTGGGGGCTTTGAGGTGGTGAGAGGCCATGTAGACAAAGATAATGTCTGAAAGTCGTGATAAACGGGGACAAGCTGAAGACTGATAGGTCCAGAGAGGAGAGGAGGGCAATGTCCTAGGATTTTGAATTAAAAAAGAAAAAACCGGCCGGGCGTGGTGGCTTATGCCTGTAATCCAAGCACTTTGGAGGCCAAGGTGGGCGGATCACCTGAGGTCGGGAGTTCAAGACCAGCCTGACCAACATGGTGAAACCCAGTCTTTAAAAAAAAAGAAAAGAAAAAACCTCATCCCAAACTGCGGACAATGCAATAGGCATGAAATGGACCAGGCACCAATTTCCGATTCAGAGGACACAGGATTGTTTCCTTTGCAGGAAAACAGGATTTTTTTGATCACGGATCTTCTCAACCACCGTATAACGTGAGGCTCCCACGTCTCCACACCTATGAGGCCAGTTGCATAGCCACGCTGCTGCAGGATTCTTGCAAAAGTGGTTTCATTCTCGGGGAGTCCACCTGAGCCCGCATTCCACTGGAGGGCCCGGTATCCATTGCTAGCCTCCATGCCTGTGGGACAGGAAAAGAGGAAGAATTTACTCTCCCTTCTCTAGAGGAGTAGTTCCCAACCAGGGGGCTTTGGTGTCTGAGATCTGGATTTGTGCACCCGGGCCACACTGCTGTCGTCTATCATCCATCTATCACGTATCAAGCTATCAATGATTTACCTATCTATCATCTGTCAACTGTCTGTCTATCTATCTATCTGCATATCTATCTGTCTATCTATCTAGATGATAGATAGACAGATAGACAGATAGATGGTAGATAGATGATGGATAGATAGATCCATCCATCATCTATCTACCATCTATCTGTCTATCATCTATCTATGTGTCTATCTGTGTATCTGTCTATCATCTATCTATCTATCTATCTGTATATCTATCGTCTATCTATGTGTCTATCTGTGTATCTGTCTATCATCTATCTATCTATCTGTATATCTATCATCTATCTATCTGTCTATCTATCTATCGTCTATCTATGTGTCTGTCTATCTGTCTATCATCTATCTATCTATCATCTATCTATCTATCTATCTATCTATCTATCTGTCTATCTGTCTATCTATCGTCTATCTATGTGTCTATCTGTGTATCCGTCTATCATCTATCTGTCTATCTATCATCTATCATCTATCTATGTGTCTATCTGTGTATCTGTCTATCATCTATCTATCTATCTGTGTATCTATCATCTATCTATCATCTATCTATGTGTCTATCTGTGTATCCGTCTATCATCTATCTGTCTATCTATCATCTATCATCTATCTATGTGTCTATCTGTGTATCCGTCTATCATCTATCTGTCTATCTGTCTATCTATCATCTATCTATGTGTCTATCTGTCTATCTGTCTATCATCTATCTATCTATCTATCTATCACACTATTTTTGAAATAATGAGCGTGGGCAATGTCTGGAGATGGTTTTGTTGTCCCAACTCAGAAAGGGTGGGATGTGGTGCGTGGAGCCCTACATCCAGCGCACAGAACAGTCCCCCACAGAGAATCATCTAGTGCCAAATGTCCATGGTGCCAAAACAGAGACATCTTACCTTACGATGACAGACTCTATAGTATCTGTCATATGTCTGTCTGCCTAGCTGTCACCTGTCTCTCTCAATACGTATCCATGACCTATCATCTGTATCTATCCATCCATGTATCTATTAGCTATCATTACCATTGATCATCTAGCTATCAATCAGCTATCCTTAGCTATCATCTCTTCACTTTCTATCATCTGTCATTATCTATTAATTATCATCTAGCTATGTAGCTATCAATCATCTATCACGTCATTGTCAATCATCTGTCATTATGTATCATCATCATCTAGATATCTAGCTGTCAATCATCCATTATCTATCATTGTCTATCTATCTATCTACCATCTATCTATCTACATCACAGTGATTCTCAACTTGGGGAAACTTTGCTCTCTAAAAGACACTCGGTCTTGTGATCAGTCATACTGGCTGAGAATAAACCTCTTTAAAATATTCCACAGACTTTGGTTTTGCTGTTCACATCCCAGTGATCACAACTTTTTTTTTTGAGACAGAGTCCTACTCTGTCACCCAGGCTGGAGTGCAGTGGCACAGTCTCAGCTCACTGCAACCTTTACCTCCCAGGTTCAAGCAATTCTGCCTCAGCCTCCCTAGTAGCTGGGATTACAGGAACAAGCCACCACGCCCAGCTTATGTTTGTATTTTTAGTAGAGATGGCGTTTTGCCATGTTGGCCAAGCTGGTCTCAAGCTCCCGACCTCATGCATTGCCCGCCTCGGCTTCCCAAAATGCTGGGATTACAGTGAACCATCGCGCCTGGCCACAACTTTTATGTGTACACACACAATACAATATTCCTTACATAAATACAAGGAAGATGATGAATTGCAGATAATCTTTGTACCATTTCCCACCTGTCTTCACCATCAGTACTCAACTGTTACAGATGATAGAATGAGTGGACACAGATGTGCCCATTTCTCCATCATCTCCATGACACCAACCTGATCTGAAGGAATGTCTCCCCGTGAGGAATGCGGCTCGGCTGGGGGTGCACAGCGGGGCGGCCGCCAGGTGCTGAGTGAGCCTCACGCCTTCCTCTGCAAGCTGGTCAATATTCGGCGTTCTGGGGAAAGCACACAGAAATCACTGTTAGGAGACACGCATTTGGCTCTGAAAGGCTCAGGAATAGACCGCCAGGACTTCGCCGGATTTCAGAATTCATCACATTATGTATGCGGTCCTACAGAGGCAGATGGACCCTACCCTAAGTTTGGTTTTGATGTTGAGATGGATATCGCACACACACACACACACACACACACATAGCACATGAGACAATTTATGACCCATATAATGAGGCTTTCTAGGGAGAGCAGGGCAGACCTTCCAAACTTGTTTGAAATAAGGAAGCAAAGAGAGAACGTTTATTTTTTTAGTTGTGGTGAGGGTGTGGGGCTGGGATGACGGTTCCCATGCAAGGGTGGGGGCTTTTACGGTCTGACTCTGCCGTTAGCACCGAAGAATAAAGTCCCTGTGCATTCTTACCTGCCTGTGCAGATGTGGGGCACAGAGAGGTGAGGCCTAAAATCTTTCAGCATCAGATATCAAAAAACAGTGAGGGCCGGGTGCAGTGGCTCACGCCTGTAATCCCAACACTTTGGGAGCCAAGGTGGGCCAATCACTTGAGGTCAGGATTCCAAGACCAGCCTGGTCAACATGGTAAAACCCCGTCTCTACTAAAAACAATACAAAAATTAGCCAGGGAAGGTGGCGCAGGCCTGTAATCCCCACTACTCGGGAGGCTGAGGCAGGAGAATCGCTTGAGCCCAGGAGGCGGAGGTTGCGGTGAGCAGAGATGGTATCACTGTACTCCAGCCTGGTGACAGAACAGAGTGAGACCCTGTCTCCTCCAAAAAGAGCTATGCACATAGAATGGAATATTCCTCAGCCACTACAAGGTGTGGGGCACAGTCTGAGGCTTGCCACCACAGGGCAGGACCCTGAAAACATAGTCTTCTGTGAAAGCATCCTGACTTGAAAGACCCTGGGTTAGCCGGGCGCAGTGGCTCACGCCTGTAATCCCAGAACTTTGGGAGGCCGAGGCGGGCAGATCACGAGGTCAAGAGATCGAGACCATCTTGGCCAACATGGTGAAACCCCGTCTCTACTAAAAAAAATACAAAAATTAGCTGGGCATGGTGGCGCGTGCCTGTAGTCCCAGCTACTAGGGAGGCTGATGCAGGAGAATTGCTTGAACCCCAGAGGTGGAGATTGCAGTGAGCCGAGATTGTGCCACTGTACTCCAGCCTGGCGCCTGGTGACAGAGCAGGACTCTGTCTCAAAAAAAAAAAAAAAAAAAAAAAAAGAAAGAAAGACAGACCCCGGGTTACATCATTTCATTCAGATGAAATGTCCCTAACAGGGAGCCTGTGGAGATGGAAAGCAGGTTACGGATGCCACAGGCTGAGGGTTGGGGTGCTGAGCAGTTGGAGGAGTGTTAACTGGGGCTGCCTTGACGAAGTCCTACACGCCAGCCAGCTTCAACACCAGATATGGTTTGGCACAGCAACTCATGCCTGTCATCCCAGCACTTTGGGAGGACGAGGTGGGTGGATTACTTGAGGCCAGGAGTTCAAGACCAGCCTTGGCAACATAGTGAATATCTGTCTCTACAAAAAATACAAAAACTAGCTAGGCGTGCTGGAGTGTGCCTGTAGTCTCAACTACTCGGGAGGCTGAGGCAGGAGGATAGCTTTAGGAGATGGAGGTTACAGTGAGCTGTGATCACGCCACGGGACTCCAACCTGGGCAACAGAATGAGACCCTGTCACAAAAAACAAAACACATAAACAAACCCAGCCGACATTGATTCTCCCGCATTTCTGGAGGCTGGAGGTCCGAGATCAAGGCATGGGCAGGGCTGGTCCCTCCTGAGACCTCTCTCCTGGGCTCATGGACTCCATCTTCCCCCTGCGTCCTCGCACGGTCACCGCTCTATGTGTGTCTGTGTCTTCATCTCCTCTTCTTATGAGGACCCTTGTCCTACTGGATCAGGGCCCAGTCTAGTGGCCTCATTTTACCTGATCACCTCTGGAAAGACCCAGTCTCCAGATGGAGTCACAGTCTGAGGTCCTGGGGGTTAGGACTTCAATGTAAGAATTTAGGGGACACAGATTAGCCCCTAGCTGAAGGTGATGGCTCGAGGGGTGCAGGCTTTCTTTGGGAGTATGTAAATGCCGTAACATGGTTTGTGGTGAAGGATGAACAACTCTGCGAATAGAGTAAAAGTCCCTGAACTGTGTGCTGTAAACAGATGAACCATTATGTTCTGTGAATTATAACTGGGCATGCTCAGGGTATTTGAACGGGATCCCTGGACAGGGGGCAGATTGATTGACTGACGGATTAATTGACTGATTTAGAGATAGGGTCTCTCGCCGTGGCCCAGGCTAGAGTGCAGTGGCGTGATCTCGGCTCACCGTAACCTCCACCTCCAGGACTCAAGCCATCAGCCTCCCATCCCAGCACTACAGGCATGCACCAGTATGCCTGGCTAATTTTTTGTATTTTTCATAGAGACAGGGTTTCGTCATGTTGCCCAGGGTGGTCTAGAACTCCTGGGCTCAAGTCATCCCTCACCTTGGTCTTCCGAAGTGGTGGGATGACAGGCGTGAGCCACCACGCCGGCCCACGCAGGGCAGACTGCTGCAGGCGCTGTAATGTCAACTGCGAAGAAGGGAGGCCTGGTCTGTGGGGACTGGCCCTGGGGTTGGCAGCCACTGAAAAGCAGATGCAGCCTCCATTCTGGGTGGTCCTTCTAGGAGAAACGCCTACCAAATGGAATAAGGAGGTTTCTCAGCTTTTCTCCACTCAGGCGCACTGCTGGGAGGGCTGGCATAGGGGCTGAATGGGGGTCTGCGAACCGACCTGTCCACATGCTGACCCCCCAAACCTGTGTGAGGGGCCTTGCTTAGAAAAACCGTCTTTGGAGGTGTTATTAGTTAGGTATCCCGAGATGAGATCCTCCTGGTTTAGAGAGGGCCCTAAATGCAATGACCAGTGTCCTTCTAAGAGAAAGAAGAGGAGAGGCAGAGAAGAAGGCCACGTGGGGGCGGAGGCAGAAACTGGAGTGATGTGGCCACAAGCCCAGGGACAGCTGGAGCCCCCAGGAGCCGGAGACAGGGAAGGAGCCCCCCTCCCGCCGCTCAGGGAGCTCTGTCTGGGTCTTAATCTCCTCTTTTAGTAACCCATATCAGATTAGGGCTCGCCCTAAGGACTTCAGTTTAACTTAATTACCTCTCCAAAGACCCCATCTCTGAATACTGTCACAGCCCGATCTGGCTTCAACCTACACATTTGGAGGAGGCCAGAATTGGGCCCACAACACAGTGTTTGCAAACGTAATGAAGAGAAGACATGTTTACGGCAGGCAGGCCTTGCTGCAATGACCGTGTCCTTATCAGACGAGATTAGGACACAGACAGAGGAGGAGGCCGCGTGGAGATGGAGGCGGACTGGAGTGAGTGATGCGGGCTGACCGGAGCTGGCAGGGGCGGGAAGGAGCCTCCCCAGGACCCCCAGAGGGGGCCCGGCCCTGCCCGCACCTGGATTTGAGACTTCTGGTCTGCACACCTGGGAGAACAAATTCCTGTTGTTTTAAGCTACTCATTTTGTGGTAAGAATACATTCACTTACTCGGCAGTTCTGTGTCGATTAAAAGGGCCCTTTTACCTGTTGGTAAATCATTTTTTGTGGGGTTGGGTTCTGAGGCCCTAAGGAGTTTCCTAATTTCTTCAGGCAGGAATTGCACCATTCAGTCAAACACCATGACATCATCACCAATGACAACAGCCAACTGCACCTCAGTGTTTTGTTCCCATAGCAACCGAGATCCCCAATGCCCAGGTCGTCAGCCATGATCAGTAGGATATTTGGTCTAAAGGCGTTTGCAGCTTTCGGTTCACAGGTCCTCAGGAGCAGGCAGAAAAGCAGTAGCACCGGCAGGCAGTCCCTGGAGAGAAAAGCAGAATACAGAAATGACTGTTTACCATTTGGCACAGGAAGTGGACATTTCAAGGCAGCTCGCTGAGAAGGCGAAGGTTTTACCACCAAATTAATACATTAAACTTTATGGGAGGTTATTGTCTTGGCCTGATCTAGTGTCCCTGAACCAAACCGAGGGTCAGGCTGCTTATTCTTGCGGCTCAATAATGAGATGCAGATGAGCAGGGAAAGAGGAGAGTTTTTATTTCCGTAACCAGTTATAGGAGGAAGGCCTGGGAATTATCACCAGACCAACTCAAAATTACAAAGCTTTCCAGAGCTCGTATCCTTCTAAGCTATATGTCTAAGTGTAAGTTTGCATTTAGCTAAAGACATCGTGGTTAACTTCTTCTCATCTGTAACTAAGGTCTGAGTCCTGAGGACCTTCCTCTGGAGCCTCAGTGAATTGATTTAATCTCAGTGGGTCCAGGTGTGGGGTGATTACCCTTATCTTGGCTCCTTTAGTCCCCAATAAAGCTTGTTTGTGAGGGTCTGGGGATTTCCGTCAGACCCGCAATAAAACTTGTTTAATCCTAAATGGGTCCTGGTAAGAATTCCTTCATTACCTTGTCATGCTTCAAGGCCCAGGAGAGGCCTGGGCACAGCTCTTGGTGGGCTTTTGTTACATCCCAGCCTTTGTATATGGTCGCTGGCTCTTTCGGCTTTTAATGTTTAACTTCACCACTCCGTCAGTGCTGACACAGTTGTTACGGAGCCCTGCGTTCGTGAGACCTCGCCTGCCACACTGGACCATACAGATCGGAACAAACTGGAATGCTGTCACTGTGCTAACTGCCACATCATCAAGCCGAGCGAGGAAACAGCCCAGTTTTCCAAAAAACAGAAGATTCCAGCAAGGAAAAAGAAGATGCCTAGTTCACCTGAGCTAAGAAAGTCCCCCATGCTTTAACCCTGTAAGAAAAGTAACTTTGAAACAACCAATCTGCTTTATTATTCTTTTTTTTAATCTTTTTTTTGAGATGGGGTCTTGCTGTGTTGCCCAGGCCGGAGTGCAGCAGCGTGATCATGGCTGACTGCAACCTCTGCCTGCTTCTGAACGGCTTGAATCAATCCTCTCACCTCAGCTTCCGGAGGCTGGGACCACAAGATGTAGTGTACACCACTACGCCTGACCAGTATTTTTTTAGAGGTGGGGTCTCACTATGTTGCCCAGGCTTTAATTCTTTATTTCTGCTTTCTTCGGCTCTTTCTTGCCTACAAAGCCAAGCTCCTCTTCTCAGCTCATGGAAACACTCATCCTTACTTTATAACCCAATGAGCTGGGGTTACAGGCGTGAACCAGCACCGTCGGGCTGTAACTGCAAGATTTGAAGGGCGCCTTGGAAAGGAGTTGCCACCAATGAGGGCCAGGGGCAGTCCAGCATCCACGTGGAAAGGAGATCCTAGGCTCTGCCGGCTCAGAGCCGTCGGGGACACAGGCCCCGCGGCCTCCTCCCAGCTCCTGCCTTCTTCGGTGTGGCGCTGCTCCAGCTCTAGGGGAGCCTACAGAGGCGCGATGGGATGTGGCTCGCCCGTTCCAGGCTGGGATCTCCAGCGTGTCCAGGAACGCGCAGGGCGCGGGTTCCCGGGCTGTGCCCTGGAGCGACAGCAGTCGGACAGTGTGGGCATCTGGGTTTCGCTCGGGGAGGCACAGGGGCAAGCCTGGCGGCGGGAGGGGTTGCGTCTTAGAGTAGGGAGCACCAGGCGGTGTTGGGGCTGGAGGGGACAGGGCCGTGCAGCGGATGGGTGGTGTCTTGGTGTTGGGGGATCATGGCCGTGCTCTCCAGGGAGACCATGAACGAGGGGTGTGTCTCAGGGTGTTTGGGGCTACAGGGCTTTACTGCGGGGCAGAGGAGGAGTAAGCGCAGGAGGAGATGCGGTGTGACCAGTAGGACAGTGGCCACGGAAAGGAACAGGAAGAGACATGTCTTGGAGGGTGGTGAGAGGGAGGCAGGAGAGTCGAGTCCGGAGGCAGGGAACCTAAGGCTTTCACGCCGACTTGCTGGAACTAAATTGAAAGGAAAAGCCTAGCTTTCCTTTCTTGTTTGTATTTATTTATTTATTAGACGGAGTCTCCTGTGATCTCCGCTCACTGCAACCTCGGCTTCCTGGGTTGAAGCGATTCTTCTGTCTCAGCCTCTGGAGTAGTTGGGATTACAGACAAGCGCTCAAAGCCTGGCTAATTTTTTTGTCTTTTTAGTAGAGGCCCAGCTAATTGTTTTCTTTAGGGATTTCACGATATTGGCCATGCTGGTCTCGAACTCCTGACCTCAGGTGATCCACCTGCCTCAGCCTCCCAAAGTGCTGGGATTAAAGGCATGAGCCACCGCGCCCAGCAGGAAAATCCTAACTTTCCACGCCTAAGTTACAAGAGGAGCAGAGGCTACTCCCTTTGAACTTTTCTCCTGGGCAGGTGGGAAAGTGGTGTCTGCAACAAATCAGACTGATTCGAGTTCAGTCTTCATCTGCAACTTCGCGACGTCACCCTAAGCCTCTGATGAGTTGCTTTGTGCAACCAGTGAGATGTTTGCACAAGAGTGTGACCTTTGTAAGCTCACTTGGCCTCTGGCTATCTGCAATCAATCAGACTGATCGCGGGCCACCACTTCAGTGACGTGGGGTATGAGGTGGCCAATGGGAAACGTCTAGGGGTTGTTTGGGCCCTAGAAGATTCTGCATCGGAGCCCCTGGGCCGCCGCTGGGTCGGCTCCCACACTGTGGCGTGTACTTTCGTTTTCAATACATCCCTGCTTTCCTTCTTTTGTTCCTTCATTTTGTCCAATTCTTTGTTCAAAACCTCAAGAACCTGGACAACGTATAGTCACGACGCTTTCCCGGTGACACCTGGGCGCAGATGGAGCCGGGAAGGCAGGACCGGGCGCGTCTTAGGAAGCGCAGCGGGGCTTGGCAGTGCTAGGGGCGGGCGAGGCTGCGCTTTGGTGGATGGAGCCTTGGGAAGGGACGGGGCGCGTCTTAGGGAGGCGGAAACGGGGGCGGTTCGAGTCCGGTCTTAGGGAGCCGTGGAAGGGCGAATCCCGGTCGCGGTGTAGCTGTGGGTGGAAGGCGGAGGACTCGGCAGGGCGTGACCCACGCAGCTTCCACTCCCTCTGGCCTCGGCCTGCCTTCCTCCGCCTTCCCTTCCCCGCCCCGCCCTTCCCTTCCCTTCCCTGCCCTTCCTCGTTTCTTCTCTTTCCCTGCCCTTCCACCTTCCCTTCCGTTCAGTCTCCTCCACGCCCCCTCGTCCCTGCAGTCGCCCCTACCCCTGGGCTCTGGTGTCTTGCGTCTGTCCTGGGCACCCAACGCTCCTCCAGCTGCATTTTGGGGACTCCCAGGCGCCGGACTCAGCCACGCCCGTTACAGGGGTCCAGGCTTGCCCAGGGCGCCCCTCCCGGTGTTCGCGACCCCCTCCCCAGGGTCCCACCCTAGGCCTTCGTGTGGTCCACGTCCCGGGGTCCCTGGCACCTGGCGGCGGGCGCGGCGCGTCCCCTCCGCGCGGCGGATCCCATGGCGGAGCGCTGCCCCGGAGCTCAGGACCTGGCCCCGCGCACTCCGCCCCCGGGCTCCGCCAGTGCCAAGGCCTCGCCCTCGCAGCTGCGGAATCTGGGCTGTGCCCCCGCCCCTCCTTCAGCCGCGTCACCTCCTGCCTCTCTGAGCCTCTGGGACCTGCGCGTGGAAACAGGTTTTCCCAGGTCGTCACCCGGGGAGGCCGGGGCTAATGAGGAGCTGATTAAACCCAGTTAGGATTGGCCGGTCGCATTTGCTCCCGCCTGTAATCCCAGCACTTTGGGAGGCCTAGACGACTGGATCATCTGAGGCCAGGAGTTCGAGACCAGCCTGGCCAACATAGCGAAACCCCGTCTCTACTAAAAATACGAAAATTAGCTGGGCGTGGTGGCGCATGCCTGTAATCCCAGCTACTCGGGAGACTGAGGCCGGAAAATCGCTTGAACCCAGGAGGCCGAGGTTGCAGTGAGCTGAGACCACATCATTGCACTCCAGCCTGGGCGACAGAGTGACAATCCCTCTCAATAAATAAATAAATAAATAATTTAAAAAAAAAAAAAAAAACAGTTATGCTGGAGCAGGGGGAGTCCCTTTTCTTTTTGTCGGGAAGAGTCTTAGGACCTGCCCAGCACAATCAAGCTGCGATTTCAGTTTCTCAAAGCTTGGTGTTTGAAATGTCTGTTCAGGATGCTGCACTTGTGCTCTAAGTCTGGCGTGGGGAATGCTAGATGGACCCTTTGTTTTTTCTTTTATTACTATTATTAATTATCATTATTTTGAGATAGGGCCTCACTCTGTCGCCCAGGCTGGACTGCAGTGGTGAGTGCAGTGGCGCGATCTCAGCTCGGTGTAACCTCTGCCTCCCAGGTTCGAGAGATTCTCTACCTCAGCCTCCGAGGAGCTGGGACTACAGCTACTAGCCCAGCTAAATTCCAATTGCTATTTTTATCTTTGTTCCATTCATCAGACTGCTGCTAGAATTACTCCTTTTGATTAGCCGCCATGCGCTGGACCCTCCCCATCTCTTCTGTGACTCACTGTTTTGTTTTTGAATGATGCAGTTTTGCTCATTACTCTCTCAGGTAATTCTTTTTTTGTATCTTTGGTGCCCCTTTTTTTGTTTGTTTTACTTTGTTTTGAACTCTTTCGACCTCTAGAAAGGTCAAGGCTGAGAGCTGAGGCTGCAGTGAGCCTTGTCTTTAACTCTCTCGACCTCTAGTCACGGATTCTCTCAAGCCCCTCACATCCCACAGAAAACACAAGATCTGCTCAAAGTATCAATTCATATTTTGTAGGAAATGCTAGCTTACAACGCAGGTGACCCACTTTCCGTCAAAGGGGTTGCTTATTTCCTCTTCCACTGGTCGGGGGCAAAATAATTCCATAGTCTTCAAGATAACAGTACATTCTTCTTCCAAGGCTGAGGCTGTCAACGGTGAGAACTACTGAGAAAAGAGCCCTGGTTGTGCTTAGGTAAATTCTCTAAATGTTCTGAGCTGACTTGGGTGCTCAGGATTTGGAAATGGGGCCTGGAGGCAGAAGTCACGTTTGGGGGAGGCTGTGGGGATGCGAAGGGTGGCTGAACCTTGACCCTGAGGGTCTCACATGACTTTAGGCACGTGGAGCCTCCATGGGGACTTTGGCTTCAAAGCCATCAGGGTGAAGAGTGTGGACAGGTGTGGAGACAGAGGTGACTCTCTCCAATGGCTGCTGAAGAACTTAAAGGTGACTCTCTGGTCCGGGGACATCGGCACAGCTGACCCAAAGTGCTGGTCTTCTTCCATATCCATGGCAATGGGGAAAGCCACAGGGGTTCACTGCTTCCCTCCTGCCATCCCTCCCTCCCTTTCTTTTTCTTTTTGCTTCTTTCCTTTCCTTCCTTTTCTTTCATTCTCTCTTCCTCCCTTCTTTTTTCCTCCCTTCATGCCATTTTTTCCTTCCTTTCTTTTTAGAGACGAGGTCTCGCCCTGTCACCCAGGCTAGAGTGCAGTGGCACAATCATAGTTCAGTGCAGCCTTGAACACCTTGGGAGGCCAAAGGCTCAAGTGATCCTCCCCCCTCAGCCTCCCAAATAGGTGGGACTACAGGCATATGCCGCCACACCTAATTATTTAAATTTTATGTGGAGGCAGGGTCTTGCTATGTCACCCCAGCTGGTCTGAAACTCCTGACTTCAAGCCACCGTGGTGTCCTACAGTGCTAGGACTGCAGATGTGAACCATTGCACCTGGCCTACTATTTCTTTCTTTCTTTACCCAAAAGAATTGGCTGGAGATGGATTTGACATTTTTGGTCTCTATGGACAGCCTGAATTCTTGGAGGCTGATGTGGATTGGATAATTTGAGGACATGTTCTTGAGGCGGCGACAAGGTGGGGCATGCCTCGTCACATGCCTAGGCTTGGAAGAGTGGAGGAGGTACCTGTTGCTTGAATGTGGAGGTGAAAGAACTATTGGAAAGACCTCCTGACTCCCAGGAGATAACGTGTTAGGGACTGAATTGTGTTGCCCTCAAGTTCACGGGAATAAGGTTTCTATTCGTCTTTATTAAAATGAGGTCACAAGAGTGGACCCCATTCCAATAGGAGTGGGATCGTTATAAGAAAAGGAGATTAGGGCCGGCACAGTGGCTCACACCTGTAATCCCAGCACTTCGGGAGGCCGAGGTGGGTAGATCACTTGAGGTGAGGAGTTCCAGACCAGCCTGGCCAACTGCTGAAAACCTGCCTCTACTAAAAAAATACAAAAATTATCGCAGGTATGGTGGCACATGCCTGTAATCCCAGCTACTCGGGAGGCTGAGACAGGAGAATTCCTTGAACCTGAAATGGAGGTTGCAGTGAGCCAAGATCGAGCCATTGCACTCCAGCCTGGACAACAGAGCAAGACTCTGTCTCAAAAAAGAAAAAAAAAAGTAATTGGAGATGAGGACACAGGCACAGAGGGATGACCGTGTGAGGACATAGGAAGAAGGTGGCAGCTGTGAACCAAGAAACAGTTTCTCCCCAGACACAGATTCTGCTCCGCCCTGGTCTTGGACATCCAGCCTCTGGAACTGCAAGAAATCAATATTCTTGTTGATACCCAGTTTATGGTATTTTTGCTCTAGTAGCCCAGACATATAAAGGCACAGCCTGGTCCCGCAGTGACCTTGCAGCTCAGAGCTGGGAAGGAAGCTGCCTGCACAGCACAGCTTCCAGATCTCCAGTTTTCCCCAATCCCCTGGGGCATTTGGCACAAAGGAAAACCACTTGAAAACAGTTCCAGCGGGAAGCCCAGTTCATGCTTGTGGTTGGAAATGATAAACAGACACTAGAAATGGGCACCACAAAGCCACATCGGTGCCAGGTTTTATCTTTGGGGCCTATCTTCTGTTCATGTGCACATCTGTAGGTCACAGAGACACCTTCTCTGGAACTTGTACTGTTTGGGGCTACAAGGCAGCCTCTTCCAGACAGAGCTGGGGTCCATTGATAGAATCCTCCCCATCTAGGAGATACTCTGCGTCTCCAGTTTGGGTGCCTGAGTGACCATTCGCCGGTGCGTTATTAATGTTTATCTATTTATTTTGTAATTTTTTTGGTGAGACATAGTCTTGCTCTGTCGCCCAGGCTGGAGTGCAGTGGTGTGATCTCAGCTCACTGCAACCTCTGCTTCCTGGCTTCAAGCAATTCTCCCGTCTCAGCCTTCTGAGTAGCTGGCATTACAGGCACCCACCACGACGCCTGAGTATTTATTTATTTTTTTTGATAGACACAGGGTTTCATCATGTTGCAGGCTGATCTTGAACCCCTGACCTCGAGTGACCCGCCCGCCGCTGCCTCCCAAAGTACTGGGATTATAGGCATGAGCCAGTGTGCCTGGCCAATGTTTATTGCTCATTTCTCTTATTCTTGCCTTTTTGTTTTTTGACAGGGAGGAACTATTCATCCTTGTGCAAGCAGATGCCTTAACATGATGCTGAGGTTTGTTTCATTTTTTGTTTTCTTTCTTTTTTGAGACAGGCTCTTGATCTGTTGCCCAGGCTGGGGTGCAGCCTCCAACTCCTGTGCTCAAATGATCCTCCTGCCTTAGCCTCCTGAGTAGCTAGGACTACAGGCATGTGCCACCGTGCCTGCTAATTTTTGTATTTTTGTTTTTGTGGAGCTAGAGCTTCATCATGTTGGTTTTGAACTCCTGGCCTCAAGTGAGCCTCCGGCGGTGGCCTCCTAAAGTTGTGGAATGACAGCCAGCATGTGCAGCCGGAGTGATGCAGTTTAGGAATCAGGGCTCCAGCTTTCCATTGCTCACATTTATTGTGGGTCATCCTCCCTAAGGCACCAGCAGAGGGGGAACGGGCCACAGCAGGGCTGCAGCCATGGTCTCCAGAGGTTGCCCAGCCTGTCCAGCTGCAGAGGGACTGGGCTGAGTGTCTGCTGGTGCTCCCGCACAGCCTGCTGGACGCGTTCCATCACCTGATAGAACAAGGGCTCTGAGGCTGGCGTGAGGACGTGCGCCTCGGAAGGGTCTCTTGAGAGGTCAAAGAGCAAAGGTGGATCATGGTGGACTACTTTTTCCCCAGAGCACGGGCAGACCTTTCTTCCATAGCAGGCACCGGCTCCCTCTGGCTGGAACACTGGGGTCACAAAGTGGACTTTCCATAGTGTTCCTCCTGGTGGAAAGACAGGAATTACAGGGTTGGCATAGACAAATAGGGTGCATTGATGGAGAATGGCATCTTCCTAAGGGATAAAAGGCAGGAATAACCCAAGCGTCCATCAATGGATGAACAGATAAAGAGAACATGGTATGTCTGTACAATGGAATACTATGCAGCTATGAAAAGGAGTGAAGCACTGACACAGGCTGCAACGTCGATGAACTTGGAAAATACCCTGATTCCATTCATATAGAATGCCAAGGATAGGGAAACATAAAGACAGAAAGTAGAGTGGTGGTTTCCAGGGCCTGCCGGGGGTGAAACGGGGAGTGACTGCCGATCGGAACAGTGTCTCTTTTGGGGTGATGAAAGTGTTCTGCAGCCACATAGATGTGGCGGTTGCACAACGCTGTGAAAGCACAAAATGCATGTGAATGGCACTCGGTCAATTGTTTTTTCTTCTTCTTTTTTTTTTTTTTGAGACAGAGTCTTGCTCTGTTACCCAGGCTGGAGTGCAGTGATGTGATCTCGGCTCACTACAACCTCTGTCTCCCAGGTTCAAGTGATTCTCCTGCCTCAGCCT